TTACTGACCTGAATGTCTTAATTGGATAGTTCTTATTGTCCCTTTAACTCCAAAATAAAGCTATTAAAATATGTAAGGAGTGAATATGAATTTGCTAAAAAAACTTTATAGATTCCTTCTAAGGGGACAAGTTTTATCACTGCTATTTAAAGACAAATAGGCCAGTAGATCCTGTCCCAGCAGCTAAACGATAAAGCGTTGAACTTCTTACCCGAAATTCTCAGATTAGATTGCCAATGAGATCATATGTGTACACTAGTTAAGAGTACCAAATTATGACGAGGTAGCTATCCATTTCTTCTCAGTTCTAAATATTTCTCTAACTGATATCGCATTGTGACGCAACCTAAACCTGACTCATAGAACTCAGTCTGCAACAAACGAATGAGTACAGGCACTATACTAGTTACTACCTAGTATCCAATCAAGTTATGAAGTCAGTCGAATCTGCACACACCAATGGTTGTGTATTTAAAGTGGTTGTTTATCTTTCATCCGTTAAAATCAACTGCAACTGTCCTGTCTTCTACGTATTGATGTCGCAGACGAAGTAATAATCTTTGTTCCTTATACAGAAAGCTTAACAGCAAGGAAAACTGGTAGGAAATACTTCCTTTTTAAAATATTGTTTGCATTTTCTCCCTGCATTTGACATACATACGAAAAAAAGATGTTTTTTAGGAATATTACTAATAACTTTATAAGCCGTTTGTAGTACAGTGTAACTGAGCAAACTCTAAATTCGAATAAATTGTCTTCAAGAAATACGCAGATGAACTATTCGGATAATTGCCAACATCTCTATATAAGTTTAGTTTTTGAAAACTGTATTCATTCACATTTTGTCTGTATCAATCTAATTACTCTTATAGCCTGAAGATAAATTTCGACATTGATGTGTGTCTTACACTTTAATTTTACTGAAAAGTTTTATTTCTGATTACATTTAACCTTCGAAAAGAGTGAGTATCATCAAATCATGTAAAATCAAAGTAATCATGAGTCCTATAAATAGTCAGTCAGACTTACACTGTATTAATCATAAGTGCTTTGTTTGGAAAATGACCAGCCTTCTTCAAAATTAATATGCTGCATGTAAATGTAAACACTCTCTGTCATTTCATGAGGACATTTGATAAAATAGAACACTTATTTTACAAGAACTTCAAGGTAATGCAGATTCAAATAGACTCATTAAAACTATCACAGTGGAAACATCGGATGCAGATGAACTAATTTTCAAAATGGCTGCCATTTGTATTTATCTGAACAGGTATTAGACACTAATCTTGGATGAATAAGGTTTCTTTCGCTGTTTACACTAGTTGGCTTATATGATGCCATTCACTTCATTACAAAATTGCAGCCTAATTTAGTGTTATAGAGAGTATTGTTTAGCATAGCAAAATTCAGAAATATTTAAAAACCAGAGATATTAATTATTCATTGGATGGTCGCCAATGAAATTTGTTCAGAGGAAAGTTACTTTTACATTTACAAATCACTCATTATAGATCGCAAAATACATTTTTTGATGAGTATTATTGAGTGCGCATAAAGTACACCAATCTTAGATAAAATGAAAATTCATCACTCAATGGCAGTTTGGTTAAATAGGCACCGTTTGATCGCTAGACAGAAATGAACTCATGAAAGATAATAAATAATTAATCTTCTGTCACTGAAAGCCGCATTCAAATTTCAGAAAGTTAAGGTTATCAGGACCACCTATGTTATTATTCACCAAATGACTAGGAATTAGACATCCTTGACTTTGCCCTGGAGTTGGAAGTCATTTTTTGTTTTATACATTAAGAGTCAATGGAGAGACAGCTCCGGTTTGAATGTACTTAGACTGTTCAAGTTTATGATGGTGTATAAAGAAAGTGTGTATCCGTTGGAAACGGAGTGGATTATTCTGAAAAATTACCATTTCACAAAAATGGCGACTGTCTATCTGACTAACAACAACAGTGAGAGAGAATACACCTTCTTCAAACACCACTGGTGTGAAATCTCACACTAACTGACTCAGTCTCACATTCAGTTAGCTTTTATTAAGAAACATTAGGCTTGTTCCAGGAGTCTGTTGTCAACATATTGTTTGTGTACTAAACACTCTAATGTTTAAACAAATTTCACAACAAACTCTGCAATTACTTATCAATGACCAGTGTTTAAGAGTGTCAAGCCCATCAAATACTTGGAATGCTTAGTTTTACTTCCCAATTATTTTAATGAGTTAAAACATAACATGTGAAAATGTTATAACTCCTGTGGTTTATGAGTAAAAGGGTTTTAAAACAATAGATACTGAACAAAAAATACTCTTTTCGATAACTTCATCATCAGGCTCTATAGTTATAAATACATTATAGCGAATGAATTAGTTATATGAACAACATTATTGTTGTTTAAATAACATCGAATCAATAATATCGATAGATTACAGCTCAATAGCATCAACATAAAATAAACTGAATGTCAGAAAAATTAGGAAAGATAATATTACAAATTCATGAATTTATAGTCTCTGCTGAGGGCCGGGGCAATAGTAGGGGCCTGACTTGCTTCTTTTGAACACAGAGCACTGGTTGTTTGAGGCGAAGTTCAATAGCCTCTGCTGTTCGGAGCATGCGGTGCTTCGATGATTTTGGCGATTCGCCTCAAACAACCAGTGCTCTGTGTTCAAAAGAAGCAAGTCAGGCCCCTACTATTGCCCCGGCCCTCAGCAGAGACTATAAATTCATGAATTTGTAATATTATCTTTCCTAATTTTTCTGACATTCAGTTTATTTTATGTTGATGCTATTGAGCTGTAATCTATCGATATTATTGATTCGATGTTATTTAAACAACATTAATGTTGTTCATATAACTAATTCATTCGCTATAATGTATTTATAACTATAGAACCTGATGATGAAGTTATCGAAAAGAGTATTTTTTGTTCAATATCCATTCTTTTGAAAACTTTTAATGAGCATTTTTAATCAGTTAAAAGGGTTTTAAACAATCGATAATTTCTTTCTGAAACTATACGGTTGGCCGGCTTTATTTTGCAGCTATGATGATGAATGTACATGGATTCATTATACGTGAAACACAAACTCTTAACACAAGAAGGATTTCAACAACACCATGTAACAATTCCGCGTCGGTGGATTACCAGTAGAATGCTCGCCAGCCACACATGTAGTCTGGAGTTCAATCCCCAGTTGACTCAAGCCTTTACCTTGCTAAACCTTTTATAAGACCAGTAAAAAGGGGGGGAGGATTTCGTGTGAAGCTTGCAGCCCCACCATTGCTACCGAAACTTCAAAGCTCTAGCTTGATGCCGTCTGTCTTACTGGGGGCTTAAAAGAATAAAATAAAAAGGTAAAAAAACTCCGAGAAACATAAGTATTTCACTTTGTTAGCGTTCATGCAATAACAGCTATCCAACATTTTTTCGATGGAAACTCTTAATGTTGAATAAGTCGAAAATGAAGCATGAACAAGGCGGTGTTGGGAGGTGATAAAGTCACTTCATTTAACGTCTAGTCACTTTAGCCTCAGTAATTCTTATTTACCTTTTTCAGCACTCGAATACGGCAAAGTCACTACAAGATTTGACTTATAAACAGAAATGATTCATGGTAACAGTATTATTCTTATGGTCTTCTAGATGGGTATGAAATAGTCTGACTTGACTTACTACAAATTTCATTGAGTCAAACTGATGATTTCATGCTTTGTCAAGAGATTTTATCAATACAGTTTTGAGGTAAATTGGTATAGACACATTCAAAACGTTCTAGTTTCCTGAACTGGAAAATATCTGACTTAATTTACACATAAAACTGTCTTAAATAATTTTTATTGGATCTCAAACCTAGGACTTCATAACTTAGAGGGACAGTGAAATATATCCCATTCTACTAAACTAATTAAATCACCGTCAGCATGAAAACATCATTGTTGAGTGTTGCCTTTAAGTGTGTCAACCGTTGTATGATTTGAAAATCGTAGTCGCCACTAAATTTTTGTGCAACAGTATCTCCGTGGTTGTACTTTAGATATATTGGAGAAGACATGTGGCTCAGGTAGATGATTTCTGTGTAGTTCTGTTGTCTGTGCTGGATAGTTTAGTATTTCATTCGATACTGTCTAGTAGGACAATGAAAGACTCGACGCTAAACCATCCAATTACAAGAAGAGCCCGGATATACCATAGTGATTGCACCTTTTTTGTTTCCTTCCAGATTCTGGTGAAATTCTGTTCTGTGACCGTGCGTTCAACATTTTTAGTATTCACAAGGTACTCTAAAGTCAGCAAAAGATAAAACAGAGTGTATTAACAAAGTTACTCTGCAGTTTATCTTATATATTATCATGAAGCCAATTCTCAATAGACGATTACATATATATATGCATATATATTTGCTAATGAATAGATTTGTCTGAATACAAGCTTGTGATTCTCATGAAGCATAAAAATACTTATCAAGGAAGCCAGTACACCGTTAAAAACGAGGGGAACATATTTAACTGTTATTCTATGGTAGACTCATACAGAATTCATTCAGTGTCCAAATGCTTATCCACTTTTCTTGCATATTATGGTCAGATAATTATTCTTTTTTAAAATATTTTCTCGCCTCAGCTCCATTGTAAAATTAATGATCAGTAGGCATATACTGTTAGAAACAAAGAGCTGGATTATGTAAGATTATTGAAAAGGATTTTTCTTTCACACGTTCACGATATATTTGATTACTGTGTCATATCTTTATTAATCATTCATTCTTTATTTGTATTTACGTCATTTCTTTGCATATTCATTAACATGCAACTGTATCATATTCATCCATTATATGAATGGTATTTAACTAAAACCAGAAGAAAAACCCATTCATCATTGTATTTATTGTTTCATTCATAGACAAAGAATACAACAAAATTCCAATACTACTGTTGTGTTCATTATCATTTGTTTTACAAAAATTTCTACTTTGTAGAACATATTTTTGCAATACCATCCTCTCTGACGAGAAAAATGTCCCGCCTGTCCGTGAGACGCTCGCCACCACATGTGACTACTTCCTCAAGCCATGATCAAGCCCCCAAAAATGTAGAAATCGGGAAAAATATTGGTCGATATGGACCGGCCTATTCGTGGAATTTATTTGAGGCTACTACACTAGACACAAAACGAGTAAGTGATATATTTAATCTATTATGATATTTCAGTCTAAGGTACTTTTGTGTATTAAGGCAGTGTAACTATGAGTAAGATATAGGTCACCTGTGTTTTGAGTATCATTCATCATAAGCCTACTCTTGAGATTACAGTTTAAATTTTATTTGCATCACATTGAAGCGTAGTGTCGTTATTGAGCAATCTCTGGACTTATTTTTACTATGTAGCGAAAATACTTACATCCTCTACTTAAGTGGATAATTACATCAGTCAGGATTTTTTACATAATCGAAAATGTATTAATATATTATAAACAAATTTTTAACGGGGTTTTAAAAAAGAAGTGTTTCTTTACTCTCAAAATATTCACATAATAACAAACTCATTATTTTGCGTACACGTTAATGCCACACTTTTTCAGAATATATCACAAGCATGATTTTGAAGTGTCCCAAAACAGTTTGCCGGGAAATAGGCCAATAAAACTACTTTTTAAAATATTTAAATTCTAATGTTTTGTTTGACACGAAGTCTCAATTCCAGTAGGATGGAATATATATTTTCTTTATTTTCAGTACCACTATGATTGTGACGAAGTAGAGAAGTCACATAGTCACATGAAAAATATGTGCATATGCTTCCATATGGGATGTTCAAAGACAAAATTTCTCGTCTAACAAATGTGACTGGTAGTTTAAACTCCGCTTAGACGACCTCTGGTAAGCATGGCATACATTTCAGTGCTTATATGCCAACGTCTTCATAACATTAGGAAAATTCACGAGTTTTTCAGAGGTTTTCGCAAAAAATAATTTTGAATCACTTTATCATCATAATTCTGCAAACATACACAATTTCTGTCCCTCATCAGTATCGCGAAATGAGATTCACGTCGCTTTGTTGTGTCTAACCCCCTAACCAAGCAAGCTGTAAAACTACTTTCAGTGAAACGCACTTAAAAGTTATTGACAGTCTGTTGTTTGAGTTGAAATCGCTGTGTAGCAGTTTTAAACGTTAATTTGCTAAAAGGAGTATTTTAATTTGCCAGTCCTGAAAATTACAATTAATGTGAAATATTGTTTTCAATATTTCATTTTATTTTTGATGCTGGAAATGTATAAATGTTTGTGTAAATGAGGCTAATCATTTGTGAATGGCTATATAATGACTTAAATTGATAAATTTTCCATTTTCCTTTAAAATCCTGTTTAGCTTCATAACATGATTTTTTTTACTGAGATTTTGATCGACTGCAGTTTTCCTAGCTAATTTACGCTTTTCAAAAGGGACACAGAAATCCTCGTTATTATTAACAAAACATGCACAATCTTTAGTTCTTTCTTTACTCCTTAAGGTATGAATAAATACCAAGTTTACTAACTGTCCGTCATTAAATTATTTTTGGCAAATGTGATACCAGGTTGAAGAAATTGTTTTCCTTTCATTTTATCGCGCAACTGAATCGTTTATACAGTCGATTCCTTTTTCCTTCAATAGCAGGCGCAGTATGGGCAACTGCTGATATTTTTACGCTTCCGTTAGATGGGTTTATGGGGCAACTGAAATCTGTTTGTGAGAAATTGCTAGGTTTACTCCATACTCTATTTTCGTTCTTTTTAAGACAGTCTGGAGAGTAACTGACGGAAGTAAACAGTAGACGTCAGCTATTTAGTGGACTATCAGAGTACCGATTTTCTTAAGGCAAGTATCACACTTATTTTGTTTGGTTTTTTTCCTTCTGAAGATACGTATCTACATATTTAGCCTGAATTTTTTTTTATCTATTCAATTTGTCTGTCTCCTGATGGAACTCAATTTAATTGGAATTCAGATGTATATATCTAATTGTTTAGTCACAAGTAACTTATGCTTGTTTCTTTTTGTATTAATTTATATCTTTATATGCATAGAGGTATCACATAAATTAAATTTAGTGAGAGAATAAACAAAGTGGAAAAACAGGGAGGAAGTAGATTTTGGAAATACTTTTCTTTTTATTGCCTTTTATGAATTTCTTGCGTCAAATTTCGCGAATAGTCACAGAAAAGTATTAAGTAAAACTTCTGGACTGAAAAACAAGGCTGTATTATAATATACTGCAGTCCAATGAACCATTAACAGATAATGAGACATCAAATAAACTCCTCCACCGAACTGAATCATTAGTTTAAATTTTATACAAGTAATATAAAAGCCATCGATATTCAAATAAAATTGATTTCATCAGCTTTTATCACTGGAAATCTTTTAAGATCAAGGTTATATTTGTTCAGCATATAGAAACAATACTGAATAACGTAAATACAAATCTCAGGGTAGTAAGTAATTTAACTTCCACTAAATCAATCCATTTTCTTAAAATTTACCGGATAATTTAGACAGGAAAAACAAAGAAATAACTGAAAAGTAATTACACCTGGAAATTACGGATACAAAAAATGAGTTCTAATATGAACTCTTTAATCTTGACTATAGGAAGAAAGTAACCTTTGTCACTTATAAAAATAATGGGCAGATACATTGTCTATTTGCCTGTAGATCACTGCCGTCAAATGAAAACAGTTTCAGTTTAAGATGCATACAGCTTTGGTTAATGCCTTCAGACAAAAGGAAGCCTGCCTTCATGATTTCTATGACACACTTGTCGTTGTTTAGTCACCGCAGTGCACGCGAAGCAAACTGAATCCGCCTTTCTCGTTGTGTTGCGAAAGAGAATAGTTTGGCCATATGCAGATGAAGTTTTTGAAAAAGATGTATATGTGAAAAAAAAGTGTCATACCATTTGCCCTCAATAAAACAAGCTCTTAAGTCGAGAATAAATAGTCCTCTTTAAGCACTACTCCTGGATCCAAAGATAAAAATGACTTTCCGTTCATATGCACTCTTTTTTTCTTGCATAAAGTCATATTTGTTCCAAGTAGTATTATAAGCTGTTTATTCATTAGTTAAAGTTAGCTATTACAAGTACAAGCTTACTTATTTTCAAGCATGTCTCTTTAGTCACCGATGCGTTTTTTTCTTAACGATTCATCTAATTCCTATGAGTGATTATATTCGCCTTTGAAGTAGTTTCCTGTTACATTTCTTCGTTTTTATGCACCTTTTTATTACTAACTCACCGTAAAAATGCGTAAAGCTCTAATAATTTATTTGCATTTGTTTCTGTGACGCAGGGGATTAATTCACTACCCTCTATCTTATGGATTTAAAAGCCATAACTTGCTCTGCATACATTCATTTATAAAAAGGTAAACTTAGGTATGCCTATCTCAGAGTAGAACAAGTGGAAAGTAAGAAGAAAATTCACTTATGCGTACAAGCAAGATACCTAATTTTTCATGGTCTTATTAGGCAAATAATTCGTTTGAAGACATAATATAAACTTCCTGAAAGCGCATAAGAAATAATAATAAGATTATTTTTACTATTTCTTATTCATTGTTTTTTGATATCTAATATTTCAAATTTCTGCAGGTTATTCATTTACGGAATTCAGTGATTGTTAAGTGTCAGGGTTTGTGGTTAAACTGTTTTGTTTAATGAAAGGTTATTTGCCCATAACATAGAGCGATGTATTCAGCTGCTCGATGTATTTCCATTGATAAACTATCGAATAAGTGGTAGGAAGCCATTCTTCCAGTGTTTTGGACATCTGAGACCATTAGGCCTTAGTAGCATCAGTTACTGTAAAATGTCTTACCCAAGATTTTGATTCAGCTTTTTTTTATAAATAGTTTCCACCCACTTGAAGTCATCAAAATCTTCGTGGATTTAAGACTTCCTGTAATATGTGTACGAGGAAGGGATATGACGGTCACTTAATAGTCTTCATATTAAAATTATCTAAGTAGCTAACTTAGAACTAAAATTTTATTGATGATCTGCAATACGATTGAAACTGCTTAGCTCCATCTCATGTAAAAAATTATGACGAGTGATGTTGTACTTCCCTGCAGCATAATTAATAATACCTGAATTCGTTGCATCTATTTTGAGACACAACTAGAACAGGAGTCGTATATGGTGAACTGCCGGTTGTTTCTGCTAAGCAAAGGATAATCTATTGAAAACAGTTTCTAAAGAGAGAACGATGTTCATTACCTATTTCAAAGACAATGTGTATATAAAATAACAATGAATCTCTAGATGTCTCTATTCATTTGCTCACAAAGAGGAAATGGCCATTAGATTTTATTTAAAAGAAATAGTAAATTGAATGATCCCTGACTACATAAAAATAATTTGATCAGGTGTATATATTGACTACAAATCTAAGAACATTTCTGTCGATAATGTTTTTCAGTATGTTGAGCAAAAAATACTGCTTTGACACTTCTACAGTACTTTTACCCCTCATAAAAACTGTGAGAAGAGATTTAGGTGTAAAACGATGAGTGTGTATTGCACGTGTTAAATGCTACTACAGTTTACAATTTATTTAGGATAGTAGGCTATATGCCTGTGTTAATCCTTTCGATTTATTGCACACAGGAGGTCCAATCTCGCCTTGAATGAATCAACGGATGGCGCTGATACGACGTGTTCCGGTAGGGAGTTCCAATGGTTCACAATTCGATGCGAAAAACGGATTTCCAGACGCAGACGATTCGACCGTGGTTTTTGAACCTTGAGGTGATGTCCTCGCAATTGGTTGGTGCTAGAAGGAAGAAATAATTTAGATAAATTAGCTCCAAAATCATTTCTTAGGATACGGTATGCTAGTATTAGGTCACCCCTAAGTCGTCTGTATGACAGTGGAAATAAACCCAGTCGACTTAACCTCTCCTCATATGACAGGGTTGAGAAACCCTTTATTAGCTTAGTTCCTACTCTTTGCACCCTTTCTAATAAGTCTATTTCGTATTTGAAACACGGGCTCGCTGCCTGGATCCCATATTCCAAATGAGGTCTGATATAAGTCGGATATAATATACGAAATATATCAGTGTCAAAGTTTGCAAAAGCCTTGCGTATGGCCCATAACATTCTAAAACCCTTAGTGGCTGCAGTTCTACAGTTTGTTGCTGTTTTCAAGTCATGCTGCACAACCACTCCCAAGTCCTTGTACTCAGTGACCACTGGGAGAGTAATGCCATTCATTGAGTAATTGTGCACGTGACTATGGGATACATGCATAACTACACTCTTGCTTAAGTTAATCTCCAAGGCCCAGGGCTTACACCAATCACTTAACAAGTTTAAATCTTCCTGCAAAGCAAGTTGATCACTGTCATCGTGCAAAGCCCTCCATATCTTGATGTCATCAGCAAACAGTAAGCAGGATGACTTAACTACCGATGGAATCTCATTAACATAAATCAGGAAAAGAAGTGGGCCTAGAATTGTACCCTGAGGAACGCCACTCTTAACTAATTAAAGAAAATTAACGGCGACTGGCTGTTCGGAAAAGTAGCGACTTTTTCGGTCATCTGTTCATGAACTCTATTATTACTACTTAATTTTCGAAATAATTTAAGGGATATGTTTCCTTTAGGATCAGTTCAATGATTCTTCCTAAGGACCAAAATAATTTTACTTATATGCACTTATTCTTGTGTAACTTAACTCTTAACTATGTATACTGTGCTTATTTGAGTACTATTAACTCATTTGTAAGAAATCCTTAGTTTTGCCTATCACACTAAGACTCCAGAGTTGTTCTCATGGAATACGTTGGAAGTCATGTTAGTCACTGGAAAAATTGTTTAGATTTTTAAGCAGTGAAATATTCATCCACTTTGAAAATGGTGTGTTTTTTCTTACACATCTTATAAACGTAAATATTTCAATTACTTTCTTAGCACAGCGTAATTACGCAAAATACGTCATGCGTAGGAATGTTTTCAAATTGTAAGGTACTGGAGAAATTAGATATAGATCTTTGTTTTTCACCTACATGCATCCTCAAAACGTGGATACACGTTTTATAAAAATTAACCTATTCTATGCGTACGCGTATGGTTTTGATAGAAACAGAGTGTATTTGGTATAACTCTAATAAATTTCAAAAATTTGTTCCGTTATGCAAATATATTAGCTGAAATTCAGTTTATTCGGTTGAATACAACTGAACAATATTAGTGTATTATCCGAGATTTACCATGATATGCCCTCATGACCAAAAAGACCAGATGTAAAGTGCTGAAGCTGGAGTATTTGTTTTTTAGTACTGTTAATTTTCAACTTTATATGTGAGCCTGTTACATATCATTCTTTATTAGGTGCAGGAAACAGAGGTTATGGGGATCTGCAAGTTGTTATAAGAGAGCCGGTGCTGAATTGTAAAATGTATGTATGAAGTAAATTATATTTTACTTATAAATACAGCCTTCAGAAACCCTACTGTTTTCAAGGTGGCTGAATTCAGTCTACACAAGTGTGGATTTTTAAATTATTTGATCGAAAGATTGCTGGAGTGTGAATTCTGAGAAGAGAAAAAACATTCGGAAAAGTCCCTCGATTACACTTTTGTACAAAATCTCACCACCAAAGTAGGAGATAAATGTACGGCTAAATCCAGACTGAATTGACTGGAGCGATGCGGCTGATGAGTGTCAATCTCTTGTCAAAAAATAATACTAACTCATATCAGTAATCTTCATTTTTGATTGATATCCGGATTACCATTGTTTCCTAAGGCAACATGTTTTTACTGAGAATATAAGCGTTAACCATTATTGATGTATCAAGTTAATTTGTTTAGATGATACATCCCAGGCTTGAGCAACTTATTTTAGGTTGAAGACAAGTCATAACTGAGGTTTTTAGGACTAAATATCCACTTTTTTCACTTACACATTTTTCATAGAGTGCAAACCCAGTTATAAAAGCATGTAAGCCAGCACTGCTGCTATTTTAGCGCATTAATTATGAAAAAGATTGTTTTGGGTTTGTAGAAAGAATCGAGGAATTAATTTTGACGGATAGATACATTATGTATCTTCCTTGCTCGCCAACGTTCGTTTGATAGAAACAGTCGATTACATAAGTAATGAATTAATAAAACAAAGTGTATAGATTGGAATTCCTGTATCCTCTGTAAAGGGACTTCCAGGGCGTAAAGTGAACGTCAACTTTCTGTTCAGTAAAGAAATGCACACACAGATGGTATTGGATGGGATCAATACTAGGCCCAGTCCTAGCTGATTTCTTCCAGGCGAAACTAGAGAATGGTCCTCTAACAGATGTAATATTAAATCTTGATTTCTGTTGCCGATATGCTGACGATAGATTTATAGTTATGAAGAAAAAATCCAAACTAAGGAAATATTGGGGAAATTCAATAAAGTACTGTGTGATATACTCACTTTTTAAGTTTCGTCCCTCCACAATACGAATATAACTTAGTTAGATGTCTGGTTCACCAGACTACAGCTAACTGTTTAAATGAGCCACTGAAATAAGAACTCGGTAATATTCGTGATCTACTAAGTGAAAACGAAAATCCAACTAAATGGCTTAACTCAGAAAGCGAAATGTCGAAGGCACCCACTGTCACCGAACAATTAAGGGCAATTTTAATAGAGCAATCTTATCACAACGTCTGAGAAGAGTCTTGAAAAGGACTTTCTACGCATCTACGTTATACCGTATATTCACCAGCCAACCAATATTAAATTCAAGAAATAAGCATGGACAGCCACGTTTCGCCTAATTTATGTGTATTCACAAGTTTATCTACTCGTGAGGAACTAGTCACATTGAACGTACAATCAGGCAAATTCATCGTCCAATTTCTGACCACCTCCCATCTTCGTTTGACAAAGGTCCGAGGAAAGCTAGTCGCAGCTCAGTACTACCACATATCGTCGATACTGGATATCAAGTCGACTCTAACAGGGCTTTGAAAGTTATTCACCGTATTTCACAAAACCTCTCGCATGGTCTACAAGTACTACTCTTACATACAGTAGAGACAATTGGAATTCATCTGAACAAGCCAAATCTGTGTGTTCAAAAGAAATTTGTAGAGTTTCTGTCTTCGCCATGGACAATTACACAACATGTTTTAAGATTTTGAAAGTGATTCCCCCCCCGTTCTCTTGTGACTATCTTTCGACTTTGGTTGTTTTACAATTCCAGCTAATTCCATTAACTTGACTGTGTTTCACGTAACTCTTCTGCGTCATCCTGTGCTTCCAAGTCATCATTAATTTACAGATTTCTTGATTGTGCGTTAACTTGTTGTTAACGCGTATGAATTAAGTTTTCTTGAATTCCGTAACTAATAAATCTTCACTCCTCCTTCACAAATTAGATATCTTGTTAGTAACATCCACTAGTTAATTGGTTTGATGATGTTTACCCTCTTGATTAGCTGAGATGAACAGTTGATTGGTAAGAAGACATTTTGATGTGAAGAAACCTATCTATTCGTGTAGAGATGATGATGAGGGACTAATTGAAAAGGAATATATTTCTTTGGTCAATCTGTTGCTTCTTCTAAATTAAACAAAACATTTTTGAAAACAGCTGTGTTGTTCAGGAGATGTCAAGCTTGATTCTGATATACAGAACTTTATCAAGAAATACTATTTACCAGTATTCATGGTTTGTCAGTAGAATGATAATAAGGCTGTATTGTATGCATTTGGTCATAATGCCAGTAATTATAATTCTACAAATGACAGTGGTAAACAAAAGAAAATTCTGTGATAATGATTATGTTGAAAAATTTTCAAACGGATGATGTAGACCAAGATCAAGGAAATGAATAATGATGTTACATAACATGTCGATGTTCAAATGAAGTTAACGTTTAGTAGTTCAGTAAAAGCATATCTTCTAGTGAAGGAAATAGAGAAAGATGTTATTTTCTACTGGTATTTCTTTATTTAATTTTAAAGCTATGAAAAAGTTATGCTGCATTAGAACTTTAAAAAAATTTCGGATTGTATACGTCTATATAACTAAATTTCCTCTCAGTAAAGCAGTACAACAATGAGATGATAAATCTATAAAAGGAATAAAAAGTGATTAGAATTTTAAAAAATATAATGAATCAAAATTACATATGGATGCGACCAGTCTTCTCTGGGCATAGAAGAGACAATAGCTGTGTGAAAGTATTCTGAACATGTAGTCTAGATGTTTGAATGGGAATGTAACTAACCTCAGCAATATGTAAATATGAAGTTCATTTATGTGATTCAATCGAATGTGATAAGTAACTTTGAATGACTTCTTTTTGTCCACCGGGTGGTCACTGTCAATCAGATGGGATCCAAATTGAGCTACAAACAGTTCTTAAGTGTCTTGCATTCAGGCAAAATGGAAGATGTTTAGTTTAGGTTGCCTAGTTGCACCTCCAGTATAACTGCTTTCAAAGGAAAAACTAAACTAACAAATACAAATGGGTGTGGCGAACGTGGTCAGCCTGTACTTTTTTGATTCATTACCATTCATGGACAAAAGAATGACAGAAAATACTTCGCTGCATAAGAGTGTTCACTTAATTGCTTTTGGGAGAGTCGCAGATGATTTTCAGTTGATATTATCATCAATAGATAGTAATTCAATAAATTAGTCGCTTCTTCGTCACAGTCACAGTTTCTGGACTCTTACCTAGTATGTTTATACGTTTCTTCATAAAAAAATCGTGAGTATTCAGTTTCAGTTAACAAGTCGTGGATACATTCAAAATCTCTCAATAAACGATCATTCATTGAAATCTTTCTTGCCTTGAGTAAAGCACATATTAAATTACTGTCATCCTAAAATTTTAAATACACTGTCAGAATATAATTATCCCTTATTAGTTTTGTTTTTATTTAATTTCAGTGACTTTCTTCCTAATGATCTGAAAAGATAAACCATGAGAAAGAGTCAGAATTCACACTCCTGTTTTTCCTATTTATTGTAAAACAATCCCTTGCTAACTTAACTGATTAAAAGACGTATATAACTGATTATGAACAGGTGCTACAGTGTTCATGTGCTCATACCTACAAAATTTCCTCCCTGAAAGTATATTACAGTCAGAATATATCATTCACTTAGTCTACACAATTGTATCAACTTTGTAACTACGAAATGAGAGTAATAACGACAAAATCTATGAAGTTATCATCAAAAATATATTGTTTGAAGCTTTTTTCGTTATTCACAATCTCTTCTTGAATTAGTAGACCATTGAGATACTAAGATACATTGGTTTTGTCACTGATGAAACAATGGAATTGATACAGTTTTGAAAGAAAAGAAAACACCCTATGAAATAATTTATCTGCCTTATTAGATAAGAAAATTCCCCTTTTGGTGAGAATATGTCAAATGATCATGTGAAGCTTTGTGAGAATTAGGATTTAAGGAAAAAAATAGTTTACCCATCAGAATAATGCAAACATTTATGCATGCAGTCTGTTCAAATGCAGCTTTTTCCTTTAATTTTTTCTATGTATATCAATTTTTTTAAATTTTCTCGCATATCAGTAATTTTCTCATCTACGTTTTGCTTATACATAAAATTTTAATGACGTGTTATAAAGTTGTTATTATCATTGTTTCCTTTAATTCCTAGAGGAACATAGGGCTTCAGATGCACATCTCCATTGCCTTCTGTTTCCTGCCAACATTTTCACCCCGCTTCAAGTCTGCCCACATGCTTTCATCTCCTCTTTACACCACCTCCTCCATGTCACTCTTCCAATGACAACCAACTCGCCGCCCGCTTCCCTTTCGGCTTCCACTCGACCAATGGCTTGTCTGGTGATGTCACTTTTATTGGTTTCCTCAGAGTATGGCCAGCCAATCCATCTCCATTTCTTCCTGCCTATTCGTTTCACAATCGGTTCCTGTTGGGTTTGGTTCGCTGATTGCCAGAGATCCCACCCTGTCGCTGATCCTTTCTGGCCGGCCATTTGATCTTGAGTGGTATTGAGCGAAGACAACTGTTAATGAAGGTCTGAAGTTTGTTTGAGATGCTCTTTATGACGCGCAGTGCAAGTCCCTGATCCGTATACTGAGTAGCACTGACTTCACATTGGAGTTGATGATCCGGATCTTAATTTTGATGGTGAGTGCTGTTGACCTCCACATAGACTTAAGAGTAATGGAAGCTTGTCTTGCTTTTCCGATTCTGGCCTTGATATCCTCGTCAGTTCCGTCCGCCTGTAGTTGAAACGATGCTTCCCAGGTCGGTGGTTAGGTAAAGGAGGTTGTTTCTTTCCGGTTCCTCCAATTTACTCTGGCTGATTGTTGTCTGTTGTTTTGTTTCTGTGGCTGTTGGTGTTGGCCAGGAATCTTCATCACCTCTGTTTTACCTTTGTTCACCTGGAGTGGAGTCCTATCTTTGATGCTTCCTCTGCCAGCTTGTTGCTTTTCATCACTTGCATATCTTCCAGTTTGTGGGAAATCAGACATATATCATCGGCGAAATCCACATCCTCCAAGTTTCTTGTATGGCTCCATTTTATGCCTGTTTCCTCGTTGACGGGCCCGCTGTCTGTTGCACTATGCAATCTACCGTAATCAGGAAAATTATTGAAGATAGTAGGCAGCCAGCTTGTCCTAAAACTGTCTTCACTTCGAAGGATTCCCTGAGTTACCGTAATGGATGAGATGTATAATTGTTGGTGGCACCCCATAGTAGCGAAGTAGTTGCCAATTCACCTATCGATCGACGCCGTCGAAAGCGTTTAGGAAGTCGGTGAAGTTGAGGTAAAAATCTGGCTGCCATTCCAACCTCTGTTCCATGATGATCCTTAGTGTCGCCATTTGGTAGACGCATGACTTGTCACTAATGCATCCAGTATTTTTAATCGAAGTCTCTCATCCAGGGCTTGTTTGATTCTCGCTGAATGATGCTGCTGCTCACTATTTTGCTTGGGATAGGTAGGAGCATAATGCCACGCCAATTATTGCATTGACTCAAGTCTTCTTTCTTTGGCAGTTTGAATAGGTAGGCTTTCCTTCAATCTGCAGGCACCTTCCGCGCTTTCCACATCTTCTCTAGCAGTGGTATCATCAAGTTCGCTGATGTCTCTGGGTCCACTTTCAATGCTTTTGCTAGGTTCGCATCTGGTCCTGCTGCTTTTCCAGCTTTTAGCATCTTGATTGCATTCAGGACTTCTGATTTCGTCGGGGAGGGGTTGATGTTCACTGGTAGTTCTGCTTTTGTTGTTTATATTGTTGGGCGCGTTGTAGGTTGCGGTCGATTCAGAAGTCTTTTAGAGTGTTCAGCCCAGTATTTTTTTTGCTCCACCTCTTTGGTGATTGACTTTCCATTGTCATCCTTTACTGGCTTGATTTGTGTCGAACTTTGTGTTTGTATACGCTGCCACCAATCACTAGTTCATTGAAGGCGCAGAAGACAGCACAGAGTTCTTCGTCTTCATTCATCTCTCCGAGATATTTTTTACACATGAGTTTTCTTCCTGTGTTGTCTGGTCCTAGTTTTGCGTTCATCTTTCACATTAGTATTTTAATGTCACCAAGTGAATTATTGGCCATTGTTGCCTGTAGATGTCTGTAGAACTCTTCTTTCTTTTTATAAAGTTTGCTTTTAGGTAATTATGAAGTAAATCCATAGTCGACTACGCTTTGCCTGCGCCTAGCTTCTATAATAGCTTAGAGATAAGTGCCTGTAAAGATATATCCGTGGGAATAAATGATTTTAAAACAGCGAAAGTCATGACAAAAAAGTGATTAAATTTCTATTGAATACGGCTTTATTTGTTGTTTGTTTCTTATTCTGTCTTTCCTTATAACGCCTAACTTACAGCATGATTGAGTGTCACTTGGTCTATCTAGAAATCGTTTTCCTTTTCTGACTATCTACTGTGATTACGAAATCTGTTGAACGTTTGTAACATAAGTTGGAGTAATATCACATTAGAAATGTGGTATGCTACTATAAATCGAGAAATTTTTCCTAACTCGTAAAACAAGTGGAAGCTTATTCATACTGAAAATCAGGGGTATTTAATTTGTTGCTTATTTCGTTCAAAACCAATCTGAAGTATGATCAGAATTATTTCTGCATCAAAACAACTGCCTATAAAATCAAGAGTTAGCATTTTTCGAGGTCTCCATGCCCATGTTTATTCAGATTGACATTAGATACTTTTCATCATTCTATGCTTTCAAATTAAACGTGATAAAGACAGTAAAAAGCGTAAACTTTTGAGTATTTGTTTCGATAACAGTAAATCTACTGGAAAAATCCAGCATATCAGTATAAAGTATGATCAAATTAACTTCATTTTAGACTTTATTTTTTAAACAAACAAATAACCCATAGTTATTCTTTCAATTCGTTTTTATGACCAAACAGTTATACACATCTGTATTTTGACTTTTCGTCCTGAATGCCTTAGTTATGTCAGCATTTTCATTCCATTACCTATTTTCTTACTATTAACTTCATTATTCAGCCTCTGTTATAGTTTTTATGCTTTCGTTAGTTTATATCAACAATCACTGAAATTACACTTAACTGCCATAAATTAATTCATTGCAACCTGTAACCTTTCTTTTCATTTTTGATGATCTCGCATGCATATTAAACATGAGTAGGTGTTGTTTAGGTGTATATGGCATTTTTGGCTTTCTTTGACATGATATCAGTGGCATTATTTAATCCATCACGAATAATATGGGTTTTAGATACAAGACGTCAATGAAAAGTAGTAAAGGTTTCGGTTTATCATTGATAACTCTGACTGCAGAACGGGTAACATGCATATAGAACTCTAGAAATTCACCAGTTGCTTCGAAGTTGGAGATGCTCCCAGAACGCAATTGTCATTAAGCACAAAATTTCGGTCCAAAGATTTCTGCTAACTATGAAAAACAATCTTATATCACAATTACTTTGCGCTTGTGCATCTGCCATCATTCGTACGGCCTTGCATAACAGAAATGTAAATGTAAAAATTTCAATTCACAAAAGTATTTGCGAATATTCAAATTTGATAAAAACAAGTGCTTTGTGTAGAGAAAAGTGTTAATCTTTATGTCCATGTTTCAGTCGTGTCTTAATCAACATGATGAGGGAAGGTCTCAAGAGAATACTGAACATTTACTAGCTCTTAAAATAGTGTCTGTTCAACAGTCAGAGTATCTTTTCATTATTCACATCAGTAAAATTCCTCACAATGTTCCATTCACCCTAAATATTATCAATTCTTCTGACTTATTTGCTGTTTACTTTTTCTTTCCTTTTCATGATGAATTTTGTTTCCAGAAATGTACAGCATTTATGTGTGATAAAAAGCTATTGGATAGAATCAATAAAAATCGTCGACGTGAATTAATTTTAGAGACTCTACGCAGTGATTTGACAAATTTAAACAAACTGAAGCATCCACGTTTCTTACAGTTGATACAAGATATTGAAGAAAATAAGTAAGTCTAAAAGCAGCCAGGATAAATATTATAAAAATCCAGTGTTGATGTTTTCTATTTTCTCCGGTCATTCCGTCTCTTAATGAAAATAGCGGAGAATAAAAACTACCGATTTACTATAGTTTTCTTGAAATTATTAAATTTTTTAAAAATTTCTTTTAGCAAATATCTATTCTTTATCAGGTAAGTTTAATTACTTATAAACACGAAAATAATGTCACGAAGAAACTATAATTATTCTGAGGTAAAAATGATTTGCGTTATTTTCACATCGTTGAACAAATCACAGACAAATATACAATCTAATTAGTCTTTTACAGACACATTCGATCAGTAAAATCACTTGTGTGATAATGTAGTTTCTTTCACCTCACCATCTGAGGCATGAACAGTAGTGAACAGTCAATATTCAATCACAGTAGTCAAGCAATTTTTAAAAGTAAAGTTCATCAAGAAACGACAATAGTTAGACATTGGCTAAGAAGCATCAAGTACTGAACAATTGTTCCGACCTAGTTTGGCACATTCCATCAGTGCGCATCTGCGATTATATTAAGATTAGAGAACTCAGGTCCTCTGAATTTCGTGCTGATCTAGTTTATAATTCATTTTTCTACGCATTTGCAACCTCCTAGTATGGGCCACCACGAAAAATACAATATCTGGACGGTATCGAAGATTTTATGTACCAAAGGAGACCGATTAATCCAGCCAGAATAAGCAATGAATAAAACCTACCGATTAACTCCAGGAGACATCTTTCTAGGGCACTCATACACATTAGAGTAGATGCATTTGAATTCTAGTCCCTTCACAATTCTTTGTATTTGGATAATTTGTAAACACTTCTTATGGTGGAATAGATTTTAAAAAATGGAAAAGCAACGCGAGATTACAACTAGAAATGAGCAGTAGTTACTGGGGTTTCTTAAATACTGTGATCTAAAGAATCTGTCGAAGAGGATGACTGACCTACGAATGCAGAATTCTACTAATAATCTTTGTACATTCAAAAACGCTTTGTGGTATGCTTCTGATGAAAACTGTTTCATGTCTAAGAGGTTCTCATAGATCATGAGTTATTTATTTGTATTCTTAACTATTTCTTAATGTTTGGTGACTTATCTAAATTATGATGTTTCTCATTCTTTTAACAGTGAATATCTCATTTTCGTCACTGAACCTGTTATGGGAAGTTTAGCAGATTTGTATATACATAATCAGGTAAGGTATTCATATTTGTACAGTAAAGCTCTTAAGCCTTTTGTTAAAATCGCAATTGCGTTATCTATGTTTAACACGCTCCACTTTATCACAGTATTTACTCTGCTTTTATAATGAAAAGGCCATAGTACTACTCTTAGTTTCAGTAACCTATGCGATCTCACAATGATCTTATTTGCGGCTTATCACAGGAAGAGCCAGATAAAGGTTTCCATAATTTAAGAGCAATTTATAATCATCCGCTTGAATAAATAAAGCCGCGGCTTTGAATAATGAATCTTTTTTATCGTTGTATTGATGCTTTGTTCATCAACTATAGCATGATTAAATCTGAAGGCATACCAGAAAGCAATTCGTTCATTAGGTTCAAGCAAAATAATAGCTGAAGTTATATGTGAGTACACGGAACAAACCACACAGTCGAACAGAAGCTAGAATGGTAGTCATCTCAAAGTAACGGACTCCGAAAATGTCTTCAGTAGCTAAGTAATTTAACAACTACTAACATACTATAGAGTTCAGTGCGCAAACATTCATAAACAGATACGAAATGATGCACATTTCAAGTAATACACAGTGAAAAGCTGACGTTAGTCCTTGAAGAGACGTCAGCTGTGATGTTTAAGATTGTGGTAGACCAATAGGAGGAGGCCATACACTAGATTCAAGATAATCTGAATTCCGTTTATTAATTTATTCGTCATATTCCACCAACTATAAGATTTACAATCGAAAACCAACTAACCGGTAAAACAGACATCCAAAACCCGTCTATAGGTGGACACAGAAAAGACGGAAGTGATGAAGATATACTAACACATCTAACAACAACAAACAAACAATATCCAACATGAATGGGTGAAATCAAGTGGAAGTCATTTCATTCACTTACATAGACAGAAAGAATAGTCTCATCTACAGGTTGGTGGCATGGCTGAGTATGTGAAAGCCACTCCAGACAGGATGGAGAAAAAAAAACATGCGTTGATTACTCTAAAATTAGTAAAGAGACCCACAGCACTTAACACAGTAAACAAGATATGAATTTCAATAAGCTTCAGAAACTTGGTTTTGAATATATTTCCAACACTCTGCCTCAAACTTAAGTCAATACTTTCCTTAGCTGGCACTATACTGAAGATCAGCTGACTGGTCAAAGAGGAAAAGCACACAACAGAACTTGTCTTCCGGCTAACAGCCCCTATTTTTGATTCATTTCTTTTGCATTGTGTGCAAGGGGATCTAAAAAAATGCATGAATAACGTTTTAATGCACTTAGAGGCTAAAGGTGCTATAAATTGACAGTGAGAAAACTTCACATAAGATTAATTCATAGTATTGCATTCTAATTGCTATTCTCGCTTGTTTGAAGAATATATGCTAGGGTTAATGGGAACTGATATGCGAAAAGTGTTCTTTTAAAGACATCAATGAGCAAAGGTTGTTTTTAGATCATGTGACGGTTAGGCAGGAAGTTGAGTTACCAGTAAAATAACTACTGATGAAAATTTTAATCTAAAATAAGTTCAGTTTCTTGTTGAATATTCAGCAGTGTTTAAACTGTAACCTACAATAAAATAAAGAGTTGGTCACATTGAAATTAGATCACACAAATTGGGTGGAGATTCAGTCTTATGTTATTTGGTCTTGTCTTTAAAAAAATCCTTTTGTAAGATAAAGATGTTTTGAACCAAATTTCTTATACAGAATAAAATCTTTTTAAACCTCTCCACAGGATTTCTCCTTTTGTGAACTTGAAATTATATTTGGGGTGTATCAGGTAGGTGCATTTAGTTAACTCATCTGCTTTATGCATTACATAAAATAAAAATATTGCGTCATATCTATTGATTGTTAAAAAATTTTCTTGTTGAATATATGAAAAGTAAAGTCACCAGTAAATGAAGTTTTTAGTTTAGGTAGAAGATAGACGTTTTCTGAGAAAGCAGTGTGCTGTCCATAACAAGACACACAGACGTTTTCAGCATTCTTGACATTATTCCCGAAACTTAAAGCATGTGGTTTTATTCAGCTGAATTCACTTTTACAGAACTTTCATTTATTTCTCTTACTTGAACAGTAAGAATGTACAGATGAATTAACCACATCAACAGAAACTATTTTCAGAATAAAAAGTAACTTTTAGCTATTTTCACTGCAAATTTATCCTATAATTAAATTATACACTAATAACCAATGATGCTGCATATAAGCCTGACTGATTCAGCCGAATTAACTTGAGGTTTGAATTCAGAAAGAATAAAAGTATGCTGAAAATGTATTATTTCATATTAGCAGAGTACATTTGGATATAATTATCTTCCTAATATTTCTTGTCTGATGATATGAGAGTTGCTTAGTGAAAAGTAATCCCACTGTGAACTTCAGTAGGTTCTTGTCTGTTATCTCAAATGTATAAAACGAAAATACTGATATGTAGATGATACTTTTCTTGTTCTGTAACAAATATGAAATGATAATACTAATTTTAAACAAGTCTCATGAGCTGTGTATCATTAAAAACTACAAGTGTACCGTTTAATAGCAGCTATCAAAAACTGTGTTTCGTTTGAAGTATTTTTTAGCCAAGATAAATTGCATTTACAATGCTCTTTGCAAGTCATTACCTGGTGAAAGACGGTCATAAGTATTAGTAGTAATAATAATAATGGTAAAGCTTTATTTAAGACAGTATGCGAATATATGGTACAAACATTTTCAGCGTATTCAGTTCCAAAGTACTTTTTTTCTTCACACAGGATTCACATGTATAGTAATAATCTGAAGTATATCTTCATTTCGTTGAAGAATTGTACAGCAAGTTAAATCATCGCGCAAGTTTATGTATAGGTCATGTGATATAACTGGACGATTAAAACAATGATAAATCCAGATGAAATTAAGCATTTTGGAGGAAAGTAATTTCGGTAGCCCAATGATTTAAGCAGGCCGCCTTGCGTTTTTATTTGAAGTAATTCAAGTAACCACGAGTGATGAGCTTGACAGTGTTTTAATCCATACAAACTACCTTCAAATTAATCTGCAAATATTATTAATCAACAAAAAACAAGACAGCTAGTTACAAGATGTGGAAATTTCAGCTGAATGAGTTTTAGTTAATTTTGTTAACAGAACTTAATAAAGCATTCTATGATTTCAGCAGGAAATGCTTCATGGTAGGTTGATGTATATCTATTCTTCCAGCTGCCGGTTTTCTCCGTGAGAATTGAAGCTTCTGCCTGCCACTTTGTTGTATACTCGGCTACTGGGATTCATAAAGAACTAGTTACAAATACTGTACTTCGTGATAGTTTATAGCCACCAGAAAACAAATGACGAAAAATAAGAACTAAAGGCGTTATCAAGATGTTTTTATAGAAAAACTAATATACTAACTAGAACGAATCAAGTTGATAAAATGTAGGGAACAAAGGAATAGTATTCATTTGGTCGAAATATCGATCAATTTTGTTTCGCTTATCACCACATTTCTGTTCTCAGATTACAGATGCCCTTAGATATCTTCACAGTACTCAAGAACTCATGCACTGTAACATAAATCCCTCATCAATATTATTGATCAACAGAAGTATCTGGAAACTTGGAGGTTTGAATTATTTGGAAAAGATCGTTGACACTACAAAAGTAAGTTACACTTTAACGAAAACGATTTTATTTCTTCTTGTAAGACTCTGAGGAATAATTTGATTTGAGAAGTCATAGTAGAATCACATTTCTACGCTGATTCCAAGGTCTCTCTTAAAGAAATATTGTATTAGTTTAGTTTTCACTTTAGAGTAAGAGAGATGGTTTCCTAACTTGTTTTCAAATTGAGCCTTTCAAAAACTATCCTGCTTTTAGATTGGTACAATTTATTTTAGTAAGTATCTGAATTCGTCTTTTGATTCGTCGTTTCATAATTGAGGTTATCAGTGAAACAGATATTAGAGAAACACAATTATTAAACACATAGTTACAACCGATTCATTCGATCTCATGTTTTACAGTCTGATGTCATCCTAAAGAAATATTTGAAATTGTAGTGGCTTTTACCTTCAAGATTTTGTTGATTTAGAAGAATTGACAAGCTTTTCAAAGTTTATAATCGACTAATAGTGCCCCAGTTCGGTTCCACCCTTTGAAGATGAGTATCTGTGAGATGCTGGTAGCGTTGTTCAGTCAACGTGCAATTAAGTCCGGGGCATCAATGTTTGTTCCCTTATTTGATAGTGTAAATGAAATATCTCTTAAATCTGAACATACATTTCTCTATCGTCGTAAAATTTATTTCATCTAGTTTTAGTAAATTTCCCCAGATGCGTGGTAAATAACTCTTTCAGTATTTTTAACTCAGACAATATCTTGAACGAAAATAAATTGCATAGAATCATAATGAGTTTTAGTAACCAAATTATATGCTTGTATTAAAAAAACAATCAATAAACGCAAACAAACTGAAAGCCAGCTCATTGGATAAACAAAGAGAGTTGACTGTTTTTCATTCTGTTTCTTTCTATTCATGTTCACATTTTTAATTAACTAATCTATTGAAGAAATGTTCTGATAACTGTAAACAAAACACGGAGATTGTATACAGAAACAAAGGCATTCACTGTCTGGTTAGTCATCACAACAAATTCATTTGTATTTTGTGTTGGTTATTCATTCTTTTTTGGAGGGACGGAAGTATTTTCCGAGTTTTAAGTCTGACGAATAGAAGTTTACATGTAAGTAACTACACTGATGGTTTGTTTGTGATTTTAGGAAGACTGAGACTAAAAGTATCCTGGCTGCGATACTACGTGTATGTGAAACGGGGAAGTTAAACGAATGATTTATTGCGTTTAATTATGATAACTGCAATGTAGCATTTAACTGAATATTTGAGTATAACAAGATTTCAGCATATCATCTTTACCAAAAGTAGACAGAGGTAAGAATTCATTGTCCACAATGTTCTTACATTATGACTGAATGAACAATAGCTTGCCTGGTGACATGAATTCCTTGGTATGACTTCAAATGAGACCCTAGTTGTTCACCACTGAATGATCGAAGCAGTTGCCCAGTGCTTCTTGCCCTTCAGTAGTTCCGTAATTGTTATCATAATGTTTCGAAATGCCAGGACTTTAAAAAGCATATTTTTTAATTTCCCATTCATAGTTTTGCCTAGTTATTGACTATGTATGGAACTTTTTCAGGTGGATATAGATGAGAAACTTGAAGTAAAAATGAAACAGATGTAGAACTGCAAAGTATTTGAATAGATTGCCTTATACTGGGAAAAATAAAGAGTTTAGTACCCTGCAACCTTATTAAATGTGAATACTTGCAAATCTTAGCATTATTACATAGTTTGAGGCTGACGTTAGCTAGCAATTAAACGGTCAGGTCGTCAAAAATGCATCTACTGAAATGCCGTATTCAAGTAAACCACATCAATCAAAAGAAGATATTATGATTTTAAAGACTATGATTTCAGAGTATTGCACTAGAAAGAAAAAAGTTACAGGATTTTCATCATGAGTTGACATTAGTTAGAGAACCATTGGAAGACCTGGGAGTACTGGACAGCCGTTTCGTCCTAGTTCGGGACTCTTCATCAGTACACACCCACCGAGATTCGAACCCAGGACCCTCTGGTTACAAGGCGAGCTCGTATACCATTAAGCCACTGGGACCCGATCCAATGACCCACGAATTCTAACTTCTGTCGATTCGTGGGTCCCAGTGGCTTAATGGTATAGGAGCTCGCCTTGTAACCAGAAGGTCCTGGGTTCGAATCTCGGTGGGTGTGTACTGATGAAGAGTCGCGAGCTAGGAAGTAAACGGCTGTCCAGTACTCCCAGGTTTTCCAATGGTTCTCTAACTAATGTCAGCTCATGATGAAAATCCTGTAACCAATCAAATCCCTACAAACCAACACTTTAATATTAAAGACAAAAGTGTTGAAGTCGTGACTGCAATAACAATGCGCTTTGCGACAAAGAGTCTACAATTTTTCATTTATGAGGCTTCTGAACTGCTACACTAGTACCACGTTCATGAGATCACCTCAGTAATGACTAAATATTCACTGCAGTACCGACCACCGTATACTGTGAAGCTAAGTTATTTCCATCATCCATAATGTCTTGCCTACTGGAACAGTCAGCAGTCGACAGGTATCTCACATATATCGTGTGTACCATTTCGAATATAACAGTTACAGTCAACAAACAGAAAGAACTTACAGTTATTCTGAATATTTCGTGAAAGGACATTGATTAATGATATATAACTGCGCAGTTAGTCCCAATCACTGATTAATTCTTAGGCACTGAGCCCTAGGAGATTGGCTTAAAGTACTGTAAACTAATCAAAAGCAAAACAGTTTCAATCTTCTTTGATGTGCAAAGGACAATTTGGTCAGGGGTTTTAAACATGAATTACCTGCTTGGTCATTATCTTATCACCTATTAAATGTTTCGGGCTTTTCAAGCCATGATGATTTTCATTTTCGTAGTTCTATTTATTGTAATTTATTAAATACTATTTCCCACGACATTCTCATTTTGTACAACACATATACCATCAATGAACGATATATTCCTATATTCAGTCATAATAAAAAGACTTAAACACCAGCTGCTACAAATATGTTCGTACACAACTGAGCCATCGTTATCTGCTGACTAAGGAATACAGAAAAAAACTTAAAAAACTTCAAGAAAATAAAGATATAACCCTAAACCGTCCTGATTAGGGTAGTGGGATTGTGGTAATGGATACATCTGAATATGTTGAAAAATCAACAAAATACTACCAGACAATAATAAATTCTTCAAATCATCCAACCACAAAGACAAAACGGAAAGGACAGTAAACCTCCTTACAAAATAGCTGAAGAGAGAATGAAAGAAGATTCAGTCATAACACCAGAAGCATATGAACAAATAAAACCATGCAATTCAGTTATTCAATAACTATATGGATTGCCTAGAGTGCATAAGAAGAATGTCCTACTTCAACTTATCATGGATATGGCCAACTCACCGTATCATCAGATCACAAAGTGGCTAGCTGATATCCTTGAACCAATGAGAAGATTTATCACAAAGTATAGTCTTTGCAATACATTCGGCCTCATTGACTCAGTGAAAGATATCAATGTGTTTGAAAGACAAATACTTTCACCAGATGTCACCTCTCTATTCACAAGCATCCCCCTGACCGAAACAATATGCTTCATCTCTGAATAAATCAAAACCAACAACGTAGAAGTTCCTCTTCCCATCAACTAACTGAAGGAACTACTTCTTAGATGTACGCTTAATAACCAACTCAAATTCAATAAACAATTCTACGTACAGAAATATGGTGTAGCTCTAGGGTCTCCTGTTGGTCCACTCGTAGTTGACTGCTTTATAGTTAGTCTTTTGATCAGTCGACTGCACTAATATAGAAGATCCGTAGACGATACATTCATAATTCGTGATAAGAAAGTTGATTTAGAGTATCTCCTCAAAGCCTTCAACGTGGCAAATCTTAGAAAGCGAATCAAACATGACATTTCCATTGCTGGATGTACTATTTACCAGAAGACAAGACTGCACAGTCCAAAGGTCAATATATAGTAAATCAGCATGAACGGGACAGTTTATCAAATTCCAGAGCTTCATCTCACTGATCTGAGAGCAAAACCTGGTACGTACATAAGGTTAAAGGATTAGAAAAATCTGTTCGCAGGACACGGGAGAGAAAGAATTATATTCGTTACGTGAAATTCTACTGAAAAACGAATATCCACCGAGATTCATCGACAGAAACATGAAAGGAAAACCTCCATCGCTAAAAATCAAAAACTGTTCCTAAGAAAACTCTCTTCATGAACCTGAAATTCACAGGTGACATCGAAGCAGAAATTCTTAGAAACCGCCTTTCTAAATGTCTGATGAAGACAATTCAAGCAGAAACCTTAAACATCACATTCTTCAACAAACGGTTAATCCAGTCTAACGTTCATAATAAGATAACGTTTTCGGCCACCTCAGTGTGTATTTATCAGTCAACTTGCTCGTATGGAGCAAAGTATATCAGACGCACTCAACGTCAAGTGCACTAACGAATTCTGGAATATTGTCCAGCTTGGTTAGCCAGAGGAGAAAAGAAGAATACTAGCAGCTCCATCCTGGAACACCTGGAACATCTCCGGACATAGAGCATCCGCGCATGAATGCTTCACAGTACTACACAGAGTCCCTCAATATCGTGCATAGGTACTTTTATACATAGCTGAATCACTGGCTATTTGGGATCTGAAACCAGACCTCTGCATTTAAAAGCACTACATACATTTATTCGTCCTACCGTGGGCAGAGACACGTTCTTACTGTAACTTTACTACTTTTTATTATGTAAGTTTACTATAATTGTTGTTACTGCTTTATTATCATTATTATTCTCATCATTATTATCTCTCTATAACTGTTTATTAATAACTTTGTCGTTTTTCCACTAGTCCCTGTCCATTCTACACAATCAGATTAATTAGTCATTTTCTCACACTTATTACGTCATCTCAGCCTGTGCCCCTTTTCATAATTTCCAATTAGCCACCTCTTTTGACTGAAGCCTGCATTACGCAACACATCTTTCAGAACAAA